TCCGTTCTCTCAGGGTGGTGTAATCTGATTGAGATCAGTTTAAGACGTGTGCTGATAAAACATCAGAGGTTACCATAACACACAGTGTTGTTTGGCGTGTTAAAATTGCACATCTGGAAATGCCTTTTGTTCAGACAAAGGCAGGATGAAGTGTTCCCCCGTACAGAGTTCCCACAGTTAATGTGTTTGTACTAGCCAGTCAAGTGAGTTTTGCTTAGCAGCAGCTCAAAACGGGCCATATATTTTCTTGTCCCGTCATTGTTAATTCATCAGGCACAATATGAGAGGGAAGACAGAAATATGTAGTGTTAAGTCAAGCAGAACAGCTCTGCTCTTCCATAAAATCATAACTCCAAGAGGCAAGTGAGCTTTCCGTTGAAGATTCCGCTTGACGGTCTCTAGACTTGCGCCTGGTTTGTCTCCCAAGCTTGAAACACTGAAGCGCTCCCCTGGATTTATTTTCTTGGGACTCCAATAAGCCAGATGGAATACTGCCTAATCCAATTTGAAGATGGTTATGAATACATCTGTATTGAATGTATTAAACACTCAGCATGTGTAACATGGGTCTGCTAATTCAAGCAGAACAAGTGCTGATCTTTCAGCAGGAAACATTTATTAACATCTTAATGTTTACATTAATGTTAATCTCGTATTAACATTGCATATCATGCTGTTTAAAATGAAGTGCTGATCTATGGCGAGGGTTGAAGCTAAGAATATGCCTCGTGTAGAAGCTTTTGTTTAGTTAGTAAGGAATCCTTGTCAGTTGTCTGAATCAGATCATAGTGAGATTCAGTCGTTTTACAAATTTAAATTCGTAGGTCGGAGACCAGATACACTGTTAAAGGAATTGCTCACCCAAAAGTGAACATTTGTTGAAAATGTGCTCACCCCCAGACCATCCGAGATGTAGATGTAGTTTGTTTATTCATTGTAACAGGTTTGGAAAATTTCTAGCATTACATCAGTTGCTCAGCAGTGAATCCTCTGCAGTGAATGGGTGCTGTCAGAATGAGAGTCCAAACAGCTGATAAAAACATCACAATAAGTAATCCACAGCACTCCAGTCCATCATTTAACATCTTGTGAACCAAAAAGCTGCGTGTTTGTAAGAAACAAATCCATCAAGGCGTTCTAACGATTGTAAATGGTGCTTGATCTGTGCACATTTCTCTTCTTATTCACATGAGAAGACTTTTTCTTGGGAGAAAGCAATATTATGGATAGAAGTGAAAAACATCTTAATGATGAATTTATTACAAACACACAGCTTTGCACTTCAGAAGACTTTAGTTGATGGACTGGAGTCTTGTGGATTACTTGTGGAGTATTGTTAGCAGCTCTTTGCACATTCTGACGGCACCCATTCACTGCAGAGGATCCATTGATGAGCAAACGATGTAATGCTAAATTTCTCCAAATCTGTTTCAATGAAGAAACAAACTCCTTTACATTTTGGATGGCCTGAGGATGAGTAAACTGTCAGCCAATTTTTATTTTTGGGTTAACCTTTCCTTTAAAGGAGCAATTCACCCCAAAATTATAATTTACTCACCCACTTCTTGTTCCAAACACAAAAGAAGATTTGGAAGGTTTGGAAGAAAGTCATTCATTTAATGGATGAAATAACTTTTTGAAATGTCATTTTCAAAATCAAATGTCATCAAAATGTCAAGTCATACAGGTTGGGAATGATATGAGGGCGAGTAAATGATGACAGATTTGTTATTTTTGGTTGAACTACAAACAAAGCCCTCCCAGCAAAAGTTTTCAAAAACATAGCTCCAGTTTTCTCAACTTGTTGTCTCTTCCATATGTAAAGAATAGTTTTCTTGGCTGCGCCTACAAACTTTTAGGATGACTTCCAGTGGAGGAGAAGCCAAACAGTGTTCCAGCCCAGAATAATCCTGTTCTTATAAGAACTGAGCCGTATGTCAAGGGCAGTGCGTTTGCAGGTTTGAGTCCTGTCAGGGTTATATAAAGGTCCAAACAATGTGTCTCAGTACAACGCCTGTGGTGTTGGAGAAAGCAGATGGTCCTGTGCGTCCTACATAGACTGCTTTTTCTCTGTTAAGTGAAGCAGAAACGCTCTTATTTTTCATCTGCTGTTAGTGCTGATTGACTTGTTGGCTGTTTTTATGCCGTACCCATGGTATTCAGAGGACAACACATTCCTTGATGTTTCTAGTAGTAATTGCTAAAACAAACATCACTATTACTTTTGCTCATATTTGTGGTTTGGGATTTAAAACATTCCAAAAACTTTTTTTGTTTGTTTAATCTTCATTAAATTGAAGACTTGAAATCATCTCTTGTCAGTTTGCGAAGAGTTGATGAAGTAAAATAATTGTTTTTTTTTAAAGACATTAAACATTTTATTCAGCAAAGATGCATTAAATTGATCAAAAGTGACAGTGAAGACATTTATAATGTTACAAATGATTTTCATTTCAAACTACATATTTTTTCATCAGAGAATCCTTTAAACACATCCATCATGGTTTCCACAAAAATATTAAGTAGCACAACTGTTTTCGACATTGATAACAGTAAATATTTCTTGAGCAGCAAATCAGCATATTAGAATGATTTCTTAAGGATCATGTGACACTGAAGACTGGAGTACTGATGCTGAAAATTCAGCTTTGCATCACGGGACTAAATTACATTTTAAAATATATGAATAAAATTTCACAATATGACAGTTGTTACTTTATTTTTTGGTCAAATAAATGAAGCTTGGTGAGCTTAAGAGATTTCTTTCAAAAACATAAATTCCTATGGCCCCTTTTTAAACCCTGTCCCTTTCATGTTCTTTTGAGATAGTTTGCCTAATTTTATTTTGCTTTTTAGCTGCCAATAAAAGTGTATTACTCCCAGCTCAGTTTAAAACCATTCAGCAGAATTTTGCTGATGTTTGTCCCCCCCAAAAATCAGCGCAGGAAATGCAAAAGTCTGCACATTCCATCTAGGCCTGCTTCTAACATTTGGATTCAATCTATACAGCCGTTCCTGCAAAGAAGTGCTGCAGGTAAATATGAAATGGAAATATAACCTCTTCTATGTGTCCAGGCTTGCTTTACATTTCTCAGACAGCTCAGCAGTGGAATATCTCACTGTCAACATCAGAAACCTGCATGTGTTTAGCTTCAAAGTGAGTCAGCATGGGGGACGGTAATGCAAGGTGTCTCACCAAACCTTATTAAACCATCCAGCCATGATAACAGCCCATGAATGTGAATGCAGTCACGTACATAAGAACTGCGTTTTGAGAATAATTCACAGTTACTCAAGAACAGTAGTGGGTTGAGAATTGAGAAGGTCCACAGTGATAATTTAAGATTCTGAAATCTGTATCTTGTTGAGGGGCAGTGGGAGACACATCGATATGAGTTTGACTTGCATTTTAGTCTGAATTGGGTTAGAATAAGCAAGTCAGGTGATTGTCAGTTCATTGCTGTTCAGTCAGTGGACTGGGAAGAATAAGTGCAGATGCTCGCAATATATCTGCACAGATTCTCTGTCATCCAGGTCATCTGCATTGGAGAAATGTGTTGAGGAGCATCTGGACTAGTTTTTCATTTAAGACATGCAACTCTCCCATGTGTCGTCTTGAACAGGATGACAAATGGTGCACATTTACTACATTTATCGTCATTACATTGTGACATTTTGAGACTGGCAGATTGAAGTTAAATAGAAATTAAAATAAAAATTCTTTTTTTTTTGAAAAAGAATAAAAAATGTATAATGTAAATGTATAAAAAGTTGAATACAAAGGTGAAATAAAAATAATTTTAAGTAAATGTTTGTGAAGTTTAATATAAATTGACAGCCTGAGTCTGTGTATCTCTAATGCGATTTTTTACAATATTATAAAATATATATAGTTACATTTAAATTAAAATAAATTATGTAAAGTTTTTTTTTATTTTTTGTTAATTAAAATATGAAATAAAAACATTTGTTATTTTAATTTGTGTGTAACTTGATATATCAAGATGGGCCACATATTTTGTCCCACAAAGGATTCACGATAAAGTTGTTCATTATGGCAGCGTCCGTGTTATGTATCTCTTGTTTGTTTTTTTTTCACACACTTTGTTTCGTAATCTTGCAAGTGTTCTCCCAAACTCCCTCCTGTTGTTTTAACAATCCGCAAGCTTGGTTCCCATAAAACCCCCTCCTTTTTAAATGTAATCTAGGTCCCATGATCCTCCTTATTGTAGGACTGAGGATGAGACATTATCCTCACTGATCTCATGCTTCCTATGAATGGACGGATGACTACAGGGGTTCTCCTGGGATTTCACTGATCCTTCCTCTGTGCTGTTTAACTCCATGTTTAGCCTCCATTGCTCTTTTGGCTTTTGTATGTCTGCTGACCCAGAAGATTATTGTGACACAGACGCTGTGGATTTACGCTTGAATCCATTGCTGTCTCATATGTTTGCATGTGGTGCAATAAGTGTGCATATATTTGTTAATACTGACAAAAAAAAAGAAGAATATTTAGTTGGAGCTACAGTTCAAACAAGATTAAGATATATATTTCTGCTATGTGGCAAAGAGGTAAAAACGCCAATAATAAAATTAAAATGCACTTGTTGGTTAGCTGGTTCCTTGCTTTTGGTCCTCATTAATTTTGATTAAATGCATACAGCAAGTTGCATTTGCACATTGTCACAGGCTGTAATCTTATTTCCAAAGGCCACGGTTATCAGTGTGTCACCTGCTGTCGTATTTAACAGATAGCTGCCTGTTTTACAGCAGGACTGAGTAGGAGCTCTTCACACATGCAAAAGAGCTCGGCAGGATGAGAGGCTTCAGTCACCTGCTGTGAATGAGGATCGGGGCGATCTTTATGCCTGCCCCTCGTCATCAGCTCTGTAGTTTCATCCTGTTGCCAGCTGTTTATCATACAGATGTTTCAAAAATGTCAAAAAATGTTCATTCAGTCTCTCTCTTTCTCTTGTTTTTTTTTTTCTCTTTTGAAGACATGGGACACGTTGTGCTGGAGAGGTTGCTGCTGTTGCCAACAATGGCATCTGTGGTGTCGGAGTGGCCTATAATGCAAAGATCGGAGGTGAGTTGGCATATTTAACTCACATTTTCCATGTTTCATCACGTACAGTCTTTTCTATCAGCGCACACCCCGTCCATTCCAACATTTGAATTGCAAAACACCTCTGTGAAACATCAGATTAGATTCAGATTAGCTCTGTCTCTGTGCGTTAAACCATATGAGAACTCTTCTGTACCGAGAGCACTTTGAAAGAGGAACTCCATTAGCAATGGCTTCATGAGCTCAAGTGGGACCGTTATCACAGGCTCCAGCATAGGTCCCTGTGAGCCAAAGATTTGGACGCAAGCATATGTAATCCCTTTAATTGGCTGAGGTGCTTTTATCCTGTTCGGTGCAGATTTTGTTTCATTACTCTTCTCTACACTGCCTGCGGTCTTGGACTTCACAGGACATGGGATAAATGTCATTAATAATGGTTTGTTTCTAAATCGTCTCCAAGAACTGTTAGCCAACTGCCCATAGTTGAATCTTAGCTATTTAGATTAGCAATAAGGTATAATGTTTCACCTTAAAGGGAAAACTCACCAAAACATGCAAATTGTCATCATTTATTCACCCTTATGTTGTTCGAAATACTGTTTGACTTTTATTCTTTGGTTGAACACAAGGAGATTTGGACGCAAGCATATGTAATCCCTTTAATTGGCTGAGGTGCTTTTATCCTGTTCGGTGCAGATTTTGTTTCATTACTCTTCTCTACGCTGCCTGCTGTCTACGGTCTTGGACTTCACAGGACATGGGATAAATGTCATTAATAATGGTTTGTTTCTAAATCGTCTCCAAGAACTGTTAGCCAACTGCCCATAGTTGAATCTTAGCTATTTAGATTAGCAATAAGGTATAATGTTTCACCTTAAAGGGAAAACTCACCAAAACATGCAAATTGTCATCATTTATTCACCCTTATGTTGTTCGAAATACTGTTTGACTTTTATTCTTTGGTTGAACACAAGGAGATGTTAAGCAGAATTTATGGCTGCTCTTTTCCATTGCGATAACTGCTTAAAGTAAGATTTGAGATCCGTTCTACCTCAAAGCCATCGCCTGACTGCAGAAGACTTAGTGTTTCTTGGAAGAAAATAAAAATCATATTGGTTTGAAACAGCATGAGAGTGAATACATTATGACAGAATTTTCATTTTGGGCGATTTAACTCTTTAACTTCACCACTACTACTACACCACTTCACCACTACTACAGAATAGATGATTATATAATATATTTATGTTATGTTATATAGCATGTGTATTATGAGGTCACCCTGGCTCTACACATCCACAGCCATTAGTAACATTTTCAAGAACTGACTAATCAAACAACATTTACGTTGTGGTCTGTTCCAAGGGAAATTGCTTTTAATGACACCCAGGAGTTTTTGTGTGATAAATATGGGCAAAAAGACCTGTATACTAACCATATTTAGGGACGGGGCTGGATTCACAAATCATTTCTAAGAATAAAATTCTACTTAAATGTATTCTTAAGTCAGAAAATAAGAAGAAATTAGCAGTTAAGTTACAACACTAGATAATACATTACTATTACTAGGGATGTGCATGAGTACTCTGAAGTGACACCATTGATTGATAGCGTAATGATAAATGACAATGATTGATCATTGATCAGTCAGTGAATGCAACAGAGAACTCCATCGTGAGATAGGCTTTTCAAAAAGAACTATTTAAAATATCTGGCACATAAAAAAAAAAAAAAAAAAAAAAAAGGTGTGCCTTTTTGAATTAACAGTAACTAAAATGAAAATGGAAAAACAGCATTAAAAGATATTAAAACGGATTCAAAATATTGGTAAAAACTATAATAGTATTTCAGTGATACTAAAGTAACCCTAGTCTGGATTCACTTGAATGTTACATTACATCTAATGTTCAACTTTTTCCCACAAAAGAGCCTGGCCAAACACAGCAGAAGAAACATTGGTGCAGAAGGCGGACCTCCTCCATTCGTTCCCTTTGGACAGGTCAGAACTCCTTTGCACTTATGATTATTACGGTAATAACATCAGAACTTGCAGATGTCGAAATCGCCAAAGTTATTTTTTTAAAGGTTCTTAAGAAATTATTCAGAATTTCTTAATTTTTTGTTTAATGTCTTCATGAACAACCACTGTGGTCTATTCACTTGACTTCATTTATAGTATTTTACATATAAGGGATATGTATCTTTGGTGTCTTTTGCGTTATCTTGTTTCCACTTATTCCTGTATATTTAAATGTACCATACTGTTGTTTCTCTTTTTGGAAATTACATTTATTAAAGTGAATGCCACTTTAGAATTAAAAAAAAAATCCACTTAGGAAAATTGTTAGAAACTTCTGAACTGCTTTAAGCTTTTCATGAATCTGGGACCAAAATATTATAGAGACTTTGCGTGGGCTCTGTTGAATCTATTTTTATTTATTTATTTAATTTTATTTGGATTGTGCATTTTCTGCAGACACTAAATGTGTGCTACATTTCAAATCTTCCCTTTTATGCAGATGGATAATGCATTATGGGTAAAGTCCATTTCTCTTTTGTCGGCTCTGCATTTGTTGCTCTCTAAAGCAGCTGTTTTTGAATTAGCCTCCTAATGAGAAGCAGTGGAGGGTAAGTAGCCTTGCTGTGCCCATTTCACCTTGAATCCAGGGGGAAATCTGTGCTTAATAAGCAGCAGATACTACTCCTTTAAGGGTAGTATGGGGACAGAGAGAACTGAAGGTTTTTGGACAGCTGAGCTGTAACGTCGACCCAAACTGGCAGGCAGTGCCTTCTGCTACAGGAAAGCTCAATGTGGAGATGGCAGCACGCTAGCAGAAATAACACACAACACGGTTAATTCCTCTGCCAGGACTCATTAAGCCAGAATATTGGTTTGGAAGACTTGGTTGGAGTAAACAGTAGAGTCCATTGTTGGAAATTGCTTTATAACAAATAAAACTGAGGTTTCTTGTTGCATTTTTGAGGGGGATAGATTATTTGTATTTACTAGAGTCTGAATAAAAAAATCCCCTCTTTTGTTACCACAGTGCAGCCGTGTATATCTGTCATGCCTTTCTCATTTCCTGGAAAGTAATCATAGCCAGCTTTCTCTTTGTCCTACAGGGATATTTGGGACTTTTGGAATGTAGATATGGGGTAAAAACATTAAGCCTTTCCAAGATGTAGTGCTGTATTTTCCTGTAGTTGTGGGTTTGTTTGCAGTACTGTCTGCACCAATGCTCTCGGATTGCTTTGGAAAACCTGAAACGACTGAACTTTTGTTTATTTGCACTAACCCATATGAGGGCAGCCTTGAGTAACCTCGCCCCCTTGTGTATCAAAGAAGTGATTCATATTGTTTTGAAGATGTTTGACTCTGATTTCTCATCTTTTTACCACTTTAAAATCTAAGAGCTCTTGGCAGAATGTGCTCTCTTTTTTACCCAAGGCTGAGATAACATTCTGATGCCGGGATCTCAATAACTCAACACCTTTGACATTTTGGACTAAACACTCTGGCTCGTTCCCAAACCCCCAATTCGGTTTAAGATTCTCTTTTGTACAGGGTAGTGGAAAAAGATAAGATGGTCTCCTCTGTTGTGAAGCATATGTAAAAGGATGTTTGAAAGAGAAGAATGTAGCCACTTGTCACCTTTGAATGAACTTCAAATTCGAACACGAACGCGCATGCACTCATTTTCCTTTGAAAGGAACTTTTATATGCAGCCCTGTCTGTCTGTGCACCTCATCCCTTTCATGCTGCAAGTTATATGTGAGCATTAGATGTTAAATATTTAGCAAACAAGAAAGATCTCTTATCATATGGGATTTTTAGTGGGGTTATTCATAGAGGCTGCTTTCTGTACAGCCTTTCTGTATGTTAGGTACATTATATCTCTCCCCCAGTGGTAATCTATATACTCTATATAATCTATATACTTCTCAGAGAAAATATAGATTCTGGTGGTGTGTGGCTAATTAAATATTTGACAGGCTAGTATTCAATGTCACAGCTCTAGTATTGTTTTTAAGTTTTGGTTTATAGTATTTATATTAATATACACATTTAAAGATGACTGAAAATATAATGAAAGTTTGTTTAGAGTTTATGCAATGTTTAAAGTGATTATTTATTATTTATTATATTATTATTGTTATATTTATATTTTGTTTCATTAAATATTTATTTATATTTTTATATTTATGACTAGTATGTAGACTACAGTTCAAAAGTTTTTGTTTGTTTGTTTGTTTTTTAAGAAATGTATACTTTTATTCCGCAAAGACACATTAAATTGATCAAAAGTAACAGTAAAGACATTTATAATGTTACAAAAAACAATCTATTTCAAATAAATGGTTGCAGATAAATACTAATTAAAAAAACATGTTTTTTTCTAAATGCTTTTTTTCATGGAAACAAAATGATGCTGCCTTATTCATTTTTTTGTTAAAGTTATTAAGCACTTATTTAAACTCTGAAGAACCTCTCATCACACATTTCTTAGCCCAGTATTAAATGTAGCTTTCGATGACATACAGTATCAGACACAGACATTTTGGCATTTCTATCTGAATTCTCCATTTCTACAAATATCACAGTAAATCTGGATAATATTGAATCATTACTGGGAAAAAAAAATCACGCAATCTGATTGCATCCCTCTCCATGCTTTCCAGTGCCAGAACAAGCTCAACAGCTTGATTGATTGATGAATTTTTCCCCTACTATCCTATTTTTTTCTCACTCTCTCTGAACGTAAAGTGCTTGTAATGGACAGTGAATCTTACCATTTTACTATCTCATCTAAATACAGGCATTAAATAATCGGGCTGCAGTTTGGAGGTAATGTAAGATGTAGCATTTGCAGGTACAGTATATTTGTGTGTGCTTTGCTCTCTGTCCCATGCTCTAATGTGTTTTATGTTTTGTGTTTTACAGGTGTGCGCATGTTGGATGGAGAGGTCACTGATGTGGTGGAAGCTCAGTCCCTCAGTCTCAACCCACAGCACATCGACATCTACAGCGCCAGCTGGGGACCCGAAGACGACGGCAAAACGGTGGACGGACCTGCAAAGCTGGCCAAAGAGGCTTTCCTACGCGGCGTAATGGAGGTTTGGCTTTTCTAATCTGAACTTATTGAACTACTTTGTCATTTAGCTAATGTAAGAAGAAATATTCCTTGTGGTGCTGAAAGGGGCTATATTCTGCACTTTTGGTTCATTTTATTGTTCCCTGGAAGGCTATTTATATTCCTTTTCATAATTTATATTTCTTGTCAAAGAATTTTCCTCCCTCTCATGCCCATTAGAATTTATTGGGCTGCATTACTGTACATTTAAAGGCCCGTTCACACCAAAGATGATAACTATAATGATAACAGTAACAATATTGCTTTAAAAGTCCACACCACATCTATAACAGCACAGAGGAACAACATCATTGGAATCACTTCCAAATAAATTTTTTCCTGCTGATGAAAAATAAAAACATTAGAATCTATTCTACTTTAAAGAACGTGAGCATTTAAAGTGCCAGATGACATAGCGGCGTGCACTTAATAAACAGAACATTATTGTGCATTGGTATGGACACTAATATAGTTACAGTTATCTTTATAACTGTCATTCTTGGTGTGAACAGGCCTTAAGACTTATCTAAATGATATGTATATTTAAATGGTTTATTATCATTGGCTAAATTTACATGCCAGCGTAGTTCACAACATTGTTGATCAAGGCTGACCACATGTGAGATTATTAAATGTATTAAACAGCTAATGTTTTAAAACGTTAAATTAGGTTAATGCATTCAAGACATTTCTGTTTAATTTGTTTGTGTGCGTGTATACAGTATATACAGTATATATATATATATACTCTATATTTTTACTTTCTTTAAAAGGGACTGAATGCATTAATTACAGAAATTATAAATTCATTGTGAATAATGAATCTTTCCCCAGTGTGTGTTACATATACTGATGCTGTATAATTAGTGTGACGTTTTCTGGCATTAGTCATTTGATGCTGTTTATTTATTGCCTATGGTTTTGATTTAGCATCGATACCCAGGTACCAAAGCATGACGCCGTATCGAAGCCTAAATTTTTCACTCGGGTGGACCGGGGAGGAAGTTTTGCGCTGTGAATGTCAGCATAAAACCCATTTCAAAAAGAGCAGCGAAGAGGTCCTGTTTTCCATGACATGTACAATTGCTTCTGTGACTCATGGGCTATTTTTACTGTTTCCTGCCATTATCTGCATCAGTTGGTCTGTGCCACAAACAGTAGACGTGTTTTCATTGATATTCTTTTGCTGAGATGGTCTGAATTTGCCTCTCTTAACCTTGAACTTTTACCAGCAGCGGCATTTAAGAGGGCAGAAACTTGTGGGTCAAATGAATTAAGTGGATTTTTCTTATTTGCTTTGAAGTTGGCGATGTCAGGGGGGCTGTGGAAGGGATGCTCTGTATTTGATTTTGGCACAAATTCATTTGCGAGTGCCTTGAGTCATAAAAGCACTTACTAGTCAGAGCGAAGTATGTTTAATTTAAATGTCACATTAAATGGCAATTTTCACAGAGATATCTTCATGCGGATTTTCCAGAGCGTGAACAGTATTGACATTCTTAATACCTAATTACTTAACGCCATTTGAGCTAAACTGCTATCATGCGTGGGGTAACGGAACAGCATTCGTTTCAGCCCTTCACTCACACATGACCGTGCTCTGGGGTTGTAAAACTGGCTGAGGCCCAGCTAAAGACAATGCAGGAGAGCCGTGCCAAGACGCTACCTACCGCAGTGTGTCGTGGATGGATTTTATAGGAGCAGACCTTTTATAGAAAGATTCTGAGAGGCGATTAAGTACGCAAGACCACTTTTATCACTTAAAGGAATAGTTCATCCTAATATTGAAAATTCTGTCATCATTTGCTCACCCTCATGTTGTCCCAAATCTGTATGGCTTACTTGTTTCTGTGGAGCAAAAGAAAATATTATTACAAATTTCTCTGGAGTTTTTTTGTTGTTGTTCTTGCTGCTGCTGTTGTTTTTTGATTATTTTAAATGTAAGTACATAGTAGTTAAGGCCGCTTAATATAAAGTGATACTGTATCATTGATATACTGTTATAGTTTTGAATGCATTATTTTGTATTTTGTATTTTAGTATAAAATCAGAAATGTTGTCTTGACTACTAGCTTAAATTAAATAAATTTTTTTTAATGTCAGTTCATTTTATTTCAGTAATATGCAAGCACTCTTAACCACAACTATGCTATTTATTTTAACAATATCACTGTTATTGTTTGTTTTCTCCGTTTACAGTATGTTTGATTATCCATTATCAAAAACTGTGATTCGTTAAATTCATTCAGTGAATAATAATTAGTGCTGTCAAACGATTAATCGCATTCAAAATAAAAGTTTTTGTTTACATAATATATGTATGTATGTGTACTGTGTATATTTATTATGTATATAAACACACACAGAGTATATATATATATATATATATATATATATATTTACATGTATATACATTTATATATTTATATTCTTATCTTTTATATTATACATACATATATTTAATATATAAACACTACATATTTTTCTTAAATATATACATGCATGTGTTT